TTTTCTTGTAAATCCGTTTTAGTTCTTTGTAGATTCTGGATATTAGCCCTTTGTCAGATGGGTAGATTGCAAAAATTTTTTCCCATTCTATTGGTTGCCAGTTCACTCTAATGATTGTTTCTTTTGCTGTGCAGAAGCTCTGGAGTTTAATTAGATCCTGTTTGTCTATGTTGGCTTTTATTGCCAATGCTTTTGGTGTTTTAGTGATGAAGTCCTTGCCTATGCCTATGCCTATGTCCTGAATGGTTTGCCTAGGTTTTCTTCTAGGGTTTTTATGGTGTTAGGTCTTCTGTTTAAGTCTTTAATCCATTTGGAGTTAATTTTAGTGTAAGGTGTCAGGAAGGGGTCCATTTCCTGCTTTCTGCAAATTGCTAGCCAATTTTCCCAACATCATTTATTAAACAGGGAATCCTTTCCCCATTGCTTGTTTTTGTCAGGTTTGCCAAAGATCAGATGGTTGTAGGTGTGTAGCATTGCCTCTGAGGTCTCTGTTCTGTTCCATTGGTATACATCTCTGTTTTGGTACCAGTACCATCCTGTTTTGATTATTGTAGTCTTGTAGTATAGTTTGAAGTCAGGTAGTTTGATGCCTCCTGCTTTGTTCTTTTTGCTTAGAATTGACTTGGCTATGCAGGACCTCTTTTGGTTCCATATGAAGTTTAAGGTGTTTTTTTCCAATTCTGTGAAGAGGGTCATAGGTAGCTTGATGGGAATAATGATGAATCTATAAATTACTCTGGGCAGTTTGGCCATTTTCACAATGTTGATTCTTCCTAACCATGAGCATGGAATGTTTTTCCATCTGTTTGTATCCTCTGTTATTTCCTTGAGCAGTGGTTTGTAGTTCTCCTTGAAGAGGTCCTTTACATCCTTTGTTAGTTGTATTCCTAGGTATTTTACTCTCTTTGTAGCAATTGTGAATGGTAGTTTGCTCTTGATTTGGCTCTCTGTTTGTCTGTTATTGGTGTATATGAATGCTTGTGATTTTTGCACATTGATTTTGTATCCTAAGACTTGGCTGAAGTTGCTTATCAGTTTCAGAAGATTTTGGGCTGAGACGATGGGGTCTTCTAAATATACAATCATGTCATCTGCAAATAGAGACGTTTTGACTTCCTCCTTTCCTAGTTGAATACCCTTTATTTCTTTTTCTTGCCTGATTGCCCTGGCTAGAACTTCCAATACTATATTGAACAGGAGTGGTGAGAGAGGGCATCCTTGTCTACTGCCAGGTTTCAAAGGGAATGCTTCCAGTTTTTGTCCATTCAGTATGATATTGGCTGGGGGTTTGTTGTAAATAGCTTTTACTGTTTTGAGATATGTTCTGTTGATACCAAGTTTATTGAGAGTTTTGAGCTTAAAGACCTGTTGAATTTTGTTGAAGGCCTTCTCTGCATCTATTGAGATAATCATATGGTTTTTGTCTTTGGTTCTGTTTATGTGATGGATTATGTTTATAGACTTGTGTATGTTGAATCAGCCTTGCATCCCTGGGACGAAGCCTACTTGATCATGGTGGATAAGCTTTTTGATGTGCTAATCAGTTTGCCGGTATTTTATTGAAGATTTTTGCATCTGTGTTCATCATGGGTATTGGCCTGAAGTTTTCTTTTCTTGTTGAGTCTCTGCCGGGTTTTGGTATCAGGATGATGCTGGTCTCATAAAATGACTTGGGAAGGATTCCCTCTTTTTGGATTGTTTGGAATAGTTTCAGAAGGAGTGGTACCAGCTCCTCTTTGTATGTCTGGTAGAATTCAGCTGTCAACCCATCTGGTCCTGGGTTTTTTTTGGCTTGTAAAAAAATAAAAAATAGGTTGGCAGCTATTAATTGCTGCCTCAACTTCAGCTCTTGTTATTGGTCTATTTAGGGTTTCAACTTCTTCCTGGTTTGGGCTTGGAAGGTTGCAAGTGTCCAGGAATTTATCAATTCCTTCCAGGTTTACTGGTTTATGTGTATAGAGTTATTTTTAGTAATCTCTGATGGTAGTTTGTATTTCTGTGGAATTGGTGGTGATATCCCCCTTATCGTTTTTAACTGCATCTATTCAATTCTTCTCTCTTTTCTTTTTTATTAATCTTGCTAGTGATCTATTTTGTTGATCTTTTTTAAAAACTAGCTCCTAGATTCACTAATTTTTTGAAGGGTTTTTTGTGTCTCTATCTCCTTCAATTCTGCTCTGATCTTAATTTCTTGTCTTCTGCTAGCTTTTGAGTTTTTTTGATCTTGGTCATCTAGCTCTTTCAATTTTGATGATAGGGTATCAATTTTAGATCTTTCCTTGCTTCTCATATGGGCATTTATTGCTATAAATTTTCCTCTAGACACTGCTTTAAATGTGTCCCAAAGATTCTGGTATGTTGTGTTTTCATTCTCGTTGGTTTCGAAGAACATCTTTATTTCCACCTTCATTTCATTGTTTATCCAGTCAACATTCAAGAGCCAGTTGTTCAGTTTCAATGAAGTTGTGTGGTTCTGACTTAGTTTCTTAATCCTGAGTTCTAATTTGATTGCCTGGTGGTCTGAGAGACTGTTTGTTATGATTTCTGTTCTTTTGCATTTGCTGAGAAGTGATTTACTTCCAATTATGTGGTCAATTTTAGAGTAGGTGTGATGTGGTGCTGAGAAGAATGTGTATTCTGTGGATTTGGGATGGTGAGTTCTGTAAATGTCTATTAGGTTTGCTTGGTCCAGATCTGAGTTCAAGTCCTGGATATTCTTGTTAGTTTTCTCTCATTGATCTGTCTAATACTGACAGTGGAGTGTTAAGGTCTCCCACTATTATTGTGTGGGAGTCTAAGTCTCTTTTTTACGTCATTTAGAACTTGCTTTATGTATCTGAGTGTTCCTGTATTGAGTGCATATATATTTAGTATGGTTAGCTCTTCTTGTTGCATTGATCCTTTTACTATTATGTAATGCCCTTCTTTGTCTCTTTTGATCTCTGTTGGTTTAAAGTCTATTTTATCAGAGACTAGGATTGCAACTCCTGCTTTTTTTTGCTCTCCATTTGCTTGGTGAATCTTCCTCTGGCCCTTTTATTTTGAGCCTGTGTGTATCCTTGCACGTGAGATGAGTTTCCTGGATAAGCACACCAATGGGTTTGACTTTTTATCCAATTTGCCAGTCTGTGTCTCTTGTTTGGGGCATTTAGCCCATTTACATTTAGGGTTAATATTGTTATGTATGAATTTTGATGTTAGCTGGTTGTTTTGCCCATTAGTTGACGCAGCTTCTTCATTGTGTCGTTGGTCTTTGCCATTTGGTACGTTCTGGAATGGCTGGTACTGGTTGTTCCTTTCTATGTTTAGTGCTTCTTTCAGGAGCTCTTGTAAGGCAGGCCTGATGGTATGAAATATCTGAGCAATTGTCGAGCAATCTCTTAAGATTTCCTTTTCACAGTCCTCTGAAGAAAAAAATAGAACTTACCTTGCTGTTCTTCGAATCATTGAGCTATCCTTTTGTGACAGAGTGGCTTTTGCCACAACTGTACAGGGAGAAGGAGCTGTGGGGAATGAGAACATCTCCCCACATTGCTTTGTGTATGTGTACTTGTGTGTGGTGGCCCCTCTTATCAGTTTGCTTTGCTATTCACTTTTTTTCCTAGAACTATCTGGGAAAAATGAATTCTGATTAACTCAAGCTGTTGTTGTATTGGTTTTTGGTAACTGGGATTTTCACCAAACTTTCAATGTAATGGTATAATGAAGTGAATTTTACCTTGTTCATGACAAAGGTACAGATGACCTAACATCTTAGGGCATTTCATAACCCCGTTAGAGTCAGGGAAAACTTAAAAATCACTAACTACAAGTCACTGTGGTGGAGCTCTCTCTAATTTTCTCTACTATGTATTCAATACATGTACAAACTGGAAAAGAAACTGGTTTTTATTGCTGCTTAAACTTGGGCCAGGAGAAAATCTCTCATTGCTTTTGTCCTAAGTGTATTCAAATTCAGGTTTGACTTTTCCGTGCTTCTCAATTCAATTGGATTTCATCCAACTCGCATTCATTGAGCACCTTTTATAAGGTTGGCATTGGACTCCAGGCATTCAGAATTTGTGCTCAGTATCTTTTTTAATTCATGCATATTGGAACCATTGCTGGTAATTAAAAAATCTCTTACTACTAATGCCATATTGTTACCAGAATAATAATAGTTTGGAGTGAAGATTGCACTCCAGCTCTATCCCTGTTTAGAATGGTTTTGCTCAGAAAAACTAGGCTTGAAATTATAATTTTATAGATCAGCAAAAATTTAACCAATGAATCAGAGCTAAAGTCGCCAACTTGTAAAATAATTTCAAAGCCCTCATACAGCTCTCCATGACTATATTTAGACAGGCAGTGTAAATATGACCACTGACACAAGTAAACACTGCAATTTGAAACCACAGATTACCAAAAAATGTGGTCCCTCGATGGTGGTCGATGGTTTCAATGTGAATAGGCTGGATGTCCCCCAGCACACTGGTGGTCATAACTCAGCTCACTGGTTTTTTCAGCCAGGAGGACTCACAGCACTGCACTCATGGCCTGGCAGCGTAGGCAGTGCATCCACAGTTCAGAGGACTCTAGGGCCTGGGACTGAACCCCAAAACAATTTGCAGAATTGGTGACTATGGGCTGATATGATTACTCTCTTAGCGTGTACACTGTAATTAACTTTATTTTTGTTGTGGTATTTTTTTTTTACAGGACCTGTCAATAAAAGCAATGTGGTGACAGCGAGTACATCCATCCAGCTCCTGGATGAACGGAAATCTCCTGTGGTGGCAGGTAAATAATGGATTCAATCCATGAAGACAAAGTAAGCATGGCGCCCATTCATCTGGCCAGTGGGCTACTTCTACGTAGCATACTTATCCTCTGAAAAGGTTTTCAAAGGAGAAAACAATTTAAAATTACTTCCTCCTCAGCATGGTGTCATCTCCTTCAAACCAAGGCCCTGACAGCTGGTGGTGGTTGATGTGAAAACAGAAAACTTTCCCAGGGTTTCTGTCCTTAAGCTCTGAGCCAGTGAGAAATTGTTTGTGCATGCTGAGGAGAATTTCTTGATGGTAGGTAGCACGTTCATTCAAAGTAAACTCCACATCTCTAGCTTCTGTGTCATTAGGTTGACAGTAGGCGTATGAGGAAATTGCAGGTTTGTTTTAGGCAAACACAAACTGAAATGTGCCCTTCTCCAGAGATACTGAGATTTTCATCCCCCTAATCCCCCTGGGGAATTAGAATTAGCTGTATGTACAGGTGCAGGGTTTGGGACCAGCGGAAAGCTAAATATTATATGACTGAGCGTCTCAAATTGTCAAAGAAGACCTGTCTCTGGCTTTTCCCATATCTCTCACTTTTTAGGAGTGTCAGCAGCTCTCTGTGGATGGCTGGGGGCTTTCACTGGTGGCATCTGACCTAAAGGGCTGGGGACTACCACAAACCTTTCTTTGAAGACAAATGCTGACATAAAAACAAGGCCTGAGGGTGTGGCTGGCATATGGTTTATTCTGATCTTTTTGGAGCCATTGGTTGATGGGTGGGTGATATACCCCAAGCACCACCTGGTATTGGCTAGGTTTACTAAAGGAAGCAATTTTGTTCTCCAGCAGTCTCCCTCGATAAGTTGCACTTTAGGATGACTTTGAACACCCACTTCTGTGTCTTCACACACTGAATACTTTTGGGAAAGAGTGCAAATGGAGCAAATGGAGGAGCCCTTTTTGAAGTGGTTGTTCTTTGGCGAGGAAATACTGAGTTTGTCCCCCGACTTTCTTTCTGACTTAGCCCGGCATCAATAATTGTATTAGTAGGGTTGAAAGATCCGAGGACAGTTACCCTGGTTATTCCTGAGTTACTGGGTATGACAAGGATGACAGCCTTATGTATCTGACCTGTGGCTCGTCTTGAACTAAGCAGACCTATTCTTAATCAGCCAGGAGATATGGACTCTGAGGATTCACAGTTGCTGTCTTCAAATTTTGTCACGTAATCACATGTTCCTTGAGGAAAGTGGGAGACAGGATCATTTAACTCAACAAGATTTATTTTTGCTTAACGGAGGTCAGACTTGCTTACCTCCAGACTGGTCCAGCGAGCTAATTCTGAAGGCATGTTATCTCCCAGGAGCCGAGGCCACATGTAGCAGCTGTTACAGACATGGTCTGGCCAGAATATCCAGCTCTCTGTTTGAAATTTCTTTTTAAAACCCTTTCCTTGGGTTTCTAGTTTAGACATCATGAAGGATGAGCCCTGAAGTCACTGTGCCTATCCCAGCCACCTCTGTCCAAGTTTACGGACTATGCTCACATATTTCCAAATGCCTTACGTTTCAAAAATGCCTATTTGGCTGAGTATAGGTGAAATGTGGTCTGAGCCTGAACACTGTGCACCCAGTCTAGAGGAGAACATGCACCTCCCAAATGCTATGCCAGTCTATTATCGAGTTGCATAGGTGGCCATAGACCACAGGTAGGTCACGAGACACTGTTTGGTCCACCGTGAGTAGATGGAGGAGGCACCCTCCTATTTACTGCTTCTCTGGGTATGCCAAATGGCCCCCGTTTTCAAAAGATAATTACACAGCAAGGCCAAGAGGCAAGGTCATTTGAAGAACTGTATTTAATCCTTACCGTTTAGAATTGGTGATTATTAACCTTTTCCGAACTGTGTTTAGTAGACATGAGATAAAACAGAATTGCTTGGTTATAATGTTGAAGGCTGCTGTGGATGCAGCCCCACGATGGCAGTGACCTCAAGAAGACCTTTCTGTCTCCAAGAACAGAGTGGCCTCTTAGGCACCCCGCCCCAAGTTTTCCTGACTCTGACTCAACCATCATGTCACTGTGTGATTAGCTTTGGTAACTTGCCTCTGTGTATTTTCCTCAAATTGAGTGGACACTGTTTACCACTCTAAAATTAAAAAGGCCATTTTAATTGGGGAAGAAGCCTTGTTTTGGCAGATGAAGATGAATGTGTGAGCAGGCTCTCCTCCCATCAGTGTGCCCCAACAGCAGATGGGAGACAGCCGACTGGCAGGAATGTTAGGTTTCAATGAGGTCCTTGTGTTAAAGTAGAACTCATCTGAAAGAAGAGGTACACAACTATGCAAGTAATTATCAGGGACTCCTTGGAAAGGCCAGCTTCTCTCCCAGGCCCGACCTGGCCATCTCACGTTCATTGGCTGTATGTGTGGGGTAGAAAGAGGGTTTTTTTTGTTGTTTTCTTGTTTTTCGTTTTATTCTCTTCTTTCTTTTTTTGTGTTTTCTTTTTTAAACAAAAACATTTAGACACTCATCTGTCAATGACATCTTTGAAGAAAGGCCAGTCAGACTGGGCATGATTCCATTTGTACGCCAGCCTCGGTGCATAAACGGGCCCCATCCATCTTCCCGGCCTATGACATTGCTTACAGTCTTTCTCTTGAGAAGCCTGCCAACTCTCCAGCTGCCACCAGTGTGCCGCATTTTCTTAATTGTTTTCCCGCTGCACGGAAAGAAGTGGTGGGACTCTCCCTTTGGCCTACCAAGTCTCGCCCTAGCCGTGGAACCTTCTGTTGTGTCGAGTCCTTAATTCATGGTATCGTTGTGACTGGAAACACAGATCTTGGACTGTGAGGTCCATATAGTTTATCACTCACTCCGTAACTTGCTAAATGTGCACTCTTGGGTCTCTAAAGGTCTATCTAAAATAGAGTTGGGGTTATTACCTCCCTTGCCTCACCCTGTGTCAATTCAGTGATAAAATGAGAAAACAAACAAGAAAATTCTTGGATAAAAAGGAAGGATAAAAATGCTAGAATTTAGAATAACCCATTGTAATCTAAAAGTTGGGGGCATATTTATTCATTCAATAAATAAATGTTTCCTGAGCCTCTGCTTTTGCCAGGCACCCTAGTTATAAATAAATAATAACCGGTGTCTTAGTCCATTTTGTTTTGTTAGAACAGAATACCACAGAATGAGATTTTTTTTTTTTAAATTTAACTTTTAAGTTCAGAGGTACACGTGCAGTTTTGTTACATAAGTAAACTGTGTTGTGGGAGTTTGTTATACAGATTGTTTTATTACCGAAGTATGAAGCCTAGTACCCATTAGTTATTTTTCCTGATCCTCTCCCTCCTCCCACTGTCTTACCCTCTGACAGGCCCCAGTGTCTGTTGTTTCCCTCTCCGTGTTCATGTGTTCTCATCATTTAGCTCCCACTTGTAAGTGAGAACATGCAGCATTTGGTTTTCTGTTCCTGCGTTAGTTTGCTAAGGATAACGGCCTGCAGCTCCATCCATGTTCCTGCAAAGGACATGCCCTCCTTCTTTTTTATGGCTTCGTGGTATTCTTTGGTATATATGTACCACATTTTCTTTATCCAGTCTATCATTGATGGGCATTTGGTTTGATTCCATGAGCTTACCATTGTGAATAGTGCTGCAATGAACATGCACATGCATGTGTTTTTATGATAGAACAATTTATATTCCTTTGGGTATATACCCAGTAATGGGATTGCTGAGTAGAATGGTAGTTCTGTTTCCAGCTCTTTGAGGAATCACAACACTGTTTTCCACAATGGCTGAACTAATTTACACTCCTACCAACAGTGTATAAGAATTCCTTTTTGTCTACAACCTCACCAGCATCTGTTATTTTTTGACTTTTTAATAGTAGACATTCTGATTGATGTGAGATAGTTATCTCATTGTGATTTCGATTTGCATTTCTCTAATGATCAGTGATGTTGAGCTTTTCTTCATATGCTTGTTAGCTGCATGTATATCTTCTTTTGAGAAGTGTCTCTTCATATCATTTGCCCTCTTTTTAATAGGATTATTTGTTTTTTTCTTGCAGATTTCTCTAAGTTTCTTATAGATACTGGACATTAGATTTTTGTCAGATGCTTAGTTTGCAAAAATTTCTCCCACAGAATGGGTAATTTATACAGAAAAGAAATTTATTTCCTATGGTTCTGGAGGCTGTGAACTCCAAGATCCAGGTGCCCACATCTGGCAAGAGCCTTCATGCTGTGTCATCTTATGACAGAGGGTGGAAGGTAGAAGGGCAAGAGAGCACACAAGAGAAGAGAAAGGGCAAAACCTGTTTTGCCTTAACTTACTTATTGTTAACTTGAGTTTTAAAAATTACATTGATCTTGGTGGTGATTCTCTATTTTCTTCTCCCTGAAGAGAGCCAGCCCACTAGTCCAGCAGTCATAGGCCCTACATCTACCATATCGGGGTAGAAATGACCTGGTAAGAAGAGATGTGGAAGAAAGAATAGAAGCAAGGTGGAAGGTGTGACCCTGCAGGAGACTTCTTTCTCTCCTCAATTTGTTGGTCTGACTTTTCTGTTCATCATCTAGGCCCTCTCTCTGACAAACACAGAACACCCAATCCCAATATTGGTTAACAATTTCAGACTTCTAGAGATGTTTAAAATGTTAAATAATGAAATCTGAATTATTTGCACTTGCTTTAAAGTGTGCCTTTTAACATACCAAAATCTAAAATTGCTCCTAAAAATGTTTCATTTTGATTTCTTAGATAATTTTGAGCTCTTTAACGGTAAAGACTCAATTATCTTTTTATTTCCAGTGCCAAGTACAAGGACTAACATGTGGTCCATATGGGACCATATTGGCTAAATAAATGATTCAAGGAAGATGGGTTTCATTTTCACCTCTTATATGTAGGTACATATTTATTGACCAGACAGTGGAAACATAACACTTCACTAAAACTCTTAAGAGAGATGCTCACTAGTAGGTAAAACTCTAGTCCATACTATAAGTAATAT